CACTAGGCTCTCCTACCTAGCTCCTAAATCCTCATGAACAATGTGCGCGCTCGCGGCGATGTCGCGCTGCATACTGTGACTGGGGTGATATCGTTTCAAAAATGCACCATAACTTCACGCTGGCCCCATCTGGTGGTGGACGTCCGATGGGCCCCATTTTTAACTGTATTTATACAGGCTGTGGACTCGAGCCTTCGTACCCAGGCCTTTTTTTCTTTTTATGTGTTCCTGTATTGTTATCTGCGTATAGAGGTATGTCGTAACGTAATAAACGGTTTTTCTTTTCCTACCTCTCTTTTATTTTCTAATACCACGGCCGAGCAGAAAACCGACGTGAAATAAGCGAGGTTATCGCAGGCCCAATTCTTCCTTTCCTCAAATTCCTAATCCCTAAAAGGCAGGCAACACACTCGTAACTCCACAATGGTGTTTCGGGCGGCGCCAATGGCTTACCATCAGGTGATCCGTCTGCTCGCCCAGCATATACCATAAAAATGTAAGGTCAAAAGTCCACTGCCACCGTAAGACTACTATCGGTTGCGCTACAGCGCTTATACACACATGCACACGCATATTTTTATCCGTGTGCGTACGCGTGCGTGTGTTTATGCGTACGTACGCGTTTTTATGCACATTAATATGAAATTACTTACGCATTGCCGTGTGAACATCACTCACGGTGGCAGTGGAGTTTTAACCTTTGACTGTACATTACTAGACCAGATTATATAGTTTCTTTTTAACTTTGACCCTTATTTTCTTACTAATAGGTACTATAAATGATCAGTTTGTTAGTTTGTGTGTACGGTTGTTATTCAATCACGGCAAACCGATGATATTAGGAAAATCGGTGGATTGTAGTCTGAAATAATAGAGAGGCTACTCTTTATTTCACGGGACCGAAGCGAAGCCGCGAGCAAATGGATCACCTGATAGTAAGCAATCGGCGTCGCCCGTGGACCCCTGGAACACCAGAGGCGTTACAAGTGCGTTACCGGCCTTTTGGGGATTAGGAGATTGAGGATCGTTGGGGATTCAGGGATTGGGGAGATTAGGGGAGGGGAGGGTAATTGGGCCTCCGGTAACCTCACGCACACGACGAAACACAACGCAAGCGTTGCTTCACGTCGGTTTTCTGTGAGGCCGCGGTATCACTCCGGTCGAGCCGGCCCATTAGTGCCGAAACATGGCTCTCACTTAAAATAAATAGAATAAATAGGTAAGAATAAATATCACATATCTTTTTTTACCTTCAAATTGTAATCGAACAAGGTTCCACGATCGCAAGCCATGAAGATTTTGCCGCCGTACATGCATTTGTAGTATCTGGAACAATCGTCTTCATGGGGTAGTAAGTACTCTGTGTCAGAGTCCTTTGGACATTCTTGGGACGACAAATCTGTGGGGATTTCTGCTGATGGTAAAGATGCTGATGGTGTTCCCTTACTTGTTCCAGGATAACATGTTACCAGTTGTGCTATTACGCACATCTAAAAAAATTAAATTAGATTTAAATAATAATGAATACATAAAATTATAAATACATAAACACTAGCTATTTTCACGCGGTTTCACCCGCTCTGGTCTGAATATAGCGTAATGTTTTATAGGCTGGTTTTTCTCGACAAATGGACTATCCAATCCGGAGCTCCGGAGTCAACAAGAATGAACTAACAAACAAACAAAGCCTTCAGCTTTATATATGACGAGTATACATAACATACGAAGTATTTTGTGAATCTAAAAATTGGTACTATTCCGGAGCTACTATTCGGATTTCAATAATTCTTCTTGTATTGGATAGTGCATTTATCGACAAAGGCTATTTGCTATGAAACATCACGCTACGATCAATTAGAGCCGAGCAGAACAACTGAAACTTCACCTTAGGAGCTAGTACAAAATAATTAACTACAACTAAACTATTAAATAAAACGAAAATAAAAAAAGACACAATAAAAATCTATACCCTAATTTAGGCGTCAAAGTATTCGTCCACATCACTATCACAGGGGAACGTTCCCCGAAGACTGGCAGCATTGCCACGTTGAATGGCAATGCTTATTTTCTGTCCGAAGAAATAGCCAGCCCTCTGAGGCCTTAGTACGAATTTGTTTTACGCTTAAAGTAATCGTAACAAGTAGTCTACGCGTTCGGCGCTCTAATTGGCCGGCTCAAGTGAAACAACCAATCAGAACGCTTAACTCGCTCGATACTGTTACAATACGAATGCGATAGTTATCCGTGCTTGGCACTCTGATTGGTTGGTTCATTGGCGCCGGCCAATCAGATTGCTAAACGCGTACTCGTTTCGAATACTTTAAACGTAAATCTAACTTGTACTAAGGCCTCTAGTCACGATTAGTCAACGGACGATATCTTTAAATACAGAAATAAAATGACTTAAATATATATTCACCTGAAGCTTGTAATCAAAGAGTTTTCCAGGCAGGCAAGGCATATCAAGTGTCTGTCCATTGTTGCATACATAATAATGGCTACAATCTGTTTCGTGGGGTAACAGGGTGCTGTTACCACTGGAGTCTACAGGACAACTTTTAGGACCGGTTAATGGCAACGGATTTGCTGTTGATGCTGAAGTTGATGTTGATACTGCTGTTGATGTAGAACTTGGTGTCGAATTAGAATTTGATGTAGAATTTTTGCAATTGACTGCAAACGGCAAGTTGCACACCTGTGGAAATGAAGTTGGATTTAGTTATATTGTTCTTTGTTTTCATCATCATCTTCATCATCATATAAGTCATTTTTTTAAGGGGGGAAAATCATTGAATGACTGCTCCCGCCTGGGTGAGGCGAAAGAGAGCGTCAGACTCTTATTGACTAAAAACCACCCCGTTCCTTCTCCTGCACTTCATGCCGGAGCCCAGGTAACCCGTTAGGTTCTCCGCGACATCATATAAGCCATAGAACGTCCATTGCTGAACATAGGCGTCCTCCAATGACTAAGGCCTATTTTCTTTAATATTATTTTAAGCTTCAACCGTCGCGTCGTGTAATGCTGCTGATGAATAAGTCAAACTCAAAGTCATTTATTTCAATTAGACCAGGAAGGCACTTTTGGACGTCTACAGCAAACATTTAGAAGTGAAGCTAGTTGCTCATTCCAAGGTGTAGATTCCTATGGAGAAGAACGAGCAAGAAACTCCGTAGGTTACTCTGTTTCAATATGACCCTCTAGAGTCGCTTGACTGACAACTAGTCGAGGTCCTCATCAAATACTTACGTGAATAAGCCGTAAAACAATAATTAAATTATCGGCACGGATGGGCCGGCTCGACCGGAGTGATACCACGGCCTCACAGAAAACCGACGTGAAGCAACGCTTGCGTTGTGTTTCGTCGTGAGTGTGAGGTTACCGGAGGCCCAATTACCCTCCCCTTTCCCCAATCTCCCCAATCCCTGAATCCCTAACGATCGTCAAACTCCTAGTCCCCAAAAAGCCGGTAACGCACTAGTAACGCCTCTGGTGTTCTAGGTGTCCATGGGCGACGCCGATTGCTTACCATCAGGTGATCTGTATACTCGTTTACCGGATTATGCCATAAAAAAAACAAATTAAAATAACTTTGACTTACTCCTAGATTCACGTCGAATAAAGTGCCGGACGCACATGTCATTTCAATCTTATTGCCATTGTTACAAATATAGAATTTCGAGCAGTCTGACTCGTGCGGCCGAAGTACACTTATGTATGAGTTTGCTGGACAACCATTGGGTAGATCCTGATCTGGTGTCCCAATTATCACCGATAGAAATGTGAGAGCTGTGTACATATCGGCTGAAAAATAAAGAAAACATGGTCAGACCGAATTAAACAATGTTGGTTTGGACCTAATTACCTAATGAGAAATTATACGACAAATGTACGCATACATACATAACATTGCGCCTTTTATCCCCGAAGGGGTAGGCACAGGTACGCTTTACGGTACTTAATGCCACTGTACAATGTAGCATCCACTTTTAACTAGTTATGTTATGAGTTCCATGTAATAGAGGGTAAGTCTATTGCCAAGTACCGGGCACAATTCAAGACTCCGTGCTACTACTGAGATTTTTTTTAAAACCCAGTAATACTTTGCCGAGGCCCTTGTCCGGCAGTCGCACTTGCGACCTCTCGGCCAACGAGGCAGTCAATCAACGCAAATGGTTTAAATTCCCGACCAAATAGTCTCGGGTCTTGGGTCAACCATTCAAGCAAAGAATACTAAACTATACAGTTTCTATCACAATTATTAAAAACATATAACTAAAATAGAGAAAGTCTGTTATCCTAATAATACTATAAAATGCTTATGTTTGTTAGTGTTTTACGTAGAAACTACTAGACGGATTTGGATGAAATTTGGTGCTAAGATAGATTGTATTCTGGAATAATGTATAGAGTAATTTTTATTCCAAAGACGCGAGCGAAACCGCTAGCAGAAGAGTTGTTAGTCATAAAATTATATTTATGTTCGGTTCTTGCAGCTCTGCTCGGTATTATTTAACAAGATATTTATAATAATAAATTAACTCAGACTGTTTAGGGAGTGACTCTTAAAAAACCTGTTTAAACTACACAACCAATCAAGTTTACATTTTAAACAGAACCGACCAATCGTAGAACTGATGTCTGTGATTGGTCATTGTCATGATTGATGATTTGACCTTTGACGTCATCATAATAAATTGTCATTTTCTATGAATTTCAAATTGTTTATCTTCAAATATCTTTTTGTTAACCTTTTTTAGTCAAAAAGAAATCGATTTCGAAACTTCTCAGCATTTTTTAAGCCAAAGGATAGTTTTATTGCATTTTCCTTTAATATTGTTGCGACGATTTTGATGAAATTAACCCAAGATATAGATTACAATAGATATAATTTGATAATATAAGGATTTGGAAATCGAATTTATTATTCAGTTTAATTCTTTTGTGATAAAGCGCGAGAAACGACGTGTGTGAACATTAGTTTAGTTAATTTATTTAATAGTATACTATTAAAATTAATCGCGGTAATAATACTAAAAGATTCTCATTATTGCGTGCAAAAAAAAAATCAAGAATATATTTATTGGTATAATTAAATAGTAAAAGTAAATTAATATTAATTTTATCAATTACGTATCAGTTGGAACAGGAACCAAGAGTTTCTAATCAGCCTAAAATGTTTTAGTGTACGTGTAAAAATTATAGATATTTTTCCGGTGACGCGTTTTAAGATTTCGTGATAATAATATACGCGGCTGATATATTCACCGATACCTGACAATTGAGTTTAATTGATTTACATAAACGGGTAAATAAACATCGGTAATCGAAAGTGCGGGGAATAAAAAATATTTTCGATAAAGTGCAGCCCTTCGTGGCTTAGTGATGTTATTATTATTATTTTGAAATAATAATCGTGTAATAATACTAAAAATAATTTGTTTATTTATTAGTGATCTGAGATTAATAGTTTAAGGTGAGTGCTGGTGTTTTATTATTATTTTTTTAATTAGTAATCTTTTTAATACTGTTCCTTCGTTCTTCAATAATTATTGTTTATTTACAATATTCGGGACGCTTTTTAAATACCTTTACTATAATACATTAAATTTATCAAAACCGTTTGTAAGTGATAACTAATATTCATAAATAATTAATAATTAGGTAATAGAAAGTCTCTAAATATAAATACTATTACAGGTTATTGTATCATATATTAAATATACTTGCAATTATAATTTTAAATAGTAATCAACCAAATAACACAAACTTACCGTTAATGGCTCAAATAAAAAATATTAAATATAAGTAGTTTCTTCTACAATGACTCCGTAAAGTAGCTGTAAAATTAAACAGTTAGATTATAATTAATACATTGTAGATAATAATACGAAACAAGATTTATAGTCATGCTAATTTACGAAATTATATTTTCGAATTTAATTTCTTTGTTATTTGAATAAAACGTTTATGAAAATGGTGTTTTTAAGGTGAATTAGTGTTATAATTATTATTTTGAATTAATAATAATAATTATTATTGCATGTTATTTTAGTTTAATAATATTGCTAAATTCGATTTTAGTAATAGATTTGTATTGTAGGTAGTAACTCCCTAAAGGGGTAGGCAGAGAATATGTTATGCATGAAAATAGATAGATTGAGTCTAGTAGGATTATTTTGGTAACTTTTTTAAGAATCGGGCGAACAAAATTATGATATAATTTGAAGATAATCAGTCAAATTACTAATGTGTTGTGCAATTCATGCAAGAAAACCGTGACACTGGAGATTGTATATGAAGATAATTGTATGACTAATTTTTACTTTGATTAACCGACTTCATTACTACCTACCATCTTGAACTCGAGGCGTGATGTTATATCTCGTTATGTAATTCAAACTGCACTTTTAATGCTCAGTTAGTGACAGGCTACAATGTGTAGCAGGTTCATTTCGAACGGAACAACTCTTTGTGTGATCCACAAATTGTTGTTTCGGGTCTGGGTGGCATGTGTATGTGAACTTGTATGTTTGTAAATGTACCCACAACACAGGAGATAGTCCTAGTGTGGGGCAACGGTTTATTTAAATAAAACCATTAGACTAGTTTACTTCAATTAACTAACATTAATTAATTCGATTTGACAATATTATTATATGTATTTCTTATGGTAAGGCCGGTAAAAGAGCCGACGGATCACCTGAAGGTAAACAATCGGCGCCGCCCATAGGCACCCACCACACCAAAGGTTACTAATTCGTTACCGGCCTTTTGGGGGGTTAGGTATTTCAGGAATTGGGAATTTAGGAAAGGGAGAAATTGAGCCTCCGGGAACCTATTGACACGGCGATTTTCAAACGGCTTTAGCCATTATTGGAATATCTTTGCGAGAAGGAATCAAAAATGAGATCCGTAAACGAACAAAAGTCACTGACATAGCCAAGCGGATTAGTAAGTTGAAGTGGCAGTGGGCAGAGCACGTAGCGCAAAGAACCGACACGGCCGCTGGGGTAGATAAGTTCTCGAGTGGAGGCCATGTACCGGCAAGCGCAGCGTAGGATGTCCACCCCTGATTAAGAGGTCGCAGGGGGCCGCTGGACGCAGGTCGCTTCCAACTAGCTTATCTGGAAGTCATTGGGGGAGGCATATGTTCTGTGGACGTCGCATGATGTAATCATCATCATTCATTACTTAGTTTGAACTTTTTGTATGTTTGGGTGCAAATTTTGTAGGTAAATGATATTTCACCCGTTTCCTGAGGACCGATCGATCTGATAATTTGGTACACACTCTTAATCTTGATGACCATACAATATAATCGAATTGTTTCCACAAGTACTTTCATTATGGATATCAAACTAAGTAGAATAGAGTTAAAATAAATCGTTAAGCATAAAAAATATTGTTTATGTATTTACTTGTTAAATTTATATTTTTCCACAGATATGTACAAAGCTATCACATTTTTGACGTTGATAGCCGCGTCTTCAGCCCAGTTCCTGCCCAATGGCTGTCCATCAGACTTTCTAGTACACCTGCTCTTGCCACATGAGTCAGACTGCTCAAAATACTACAGTTGTAGTAATGGCAAAAAAATTGAGATGAGTTGTGGACCCGGCACACTGTTTGACGAGGATTTGCAAGTAAGTCGCCAGTATTTATTTTATTTTATAACCTCAGTGGCCTTTTTTTTTTAAGGGTGGAAATTCATCGAATGACTGCTCCCGCTCGCCCGGGTGACTACTGACTAAAAACCAGCTCATTCCTACACCTGCACTTCTAGCCGGAGCGGGGTAGCCTGTGTTATTCAGACTATAATTTACATCTGTTCCCTATTCCAATAAATAATAGTGCTAAGCTGACTTATATTTTATAGACATAACATAACATTTACACACACGCCTTTTATCCCCGAAAGGGTAGGCAAAGGTGCACATTAATGCCACTGTACAATGTAACACCCAGTTTTAATATACAGACAATAAAATTGCAACTTCATCTTCCAGGTCTGCAACTGGGCGTTTCAAGTTAAATGTCCACATCCACTACCAAGTTCATCTTCAACAACATCAACTTCAACAACAACAACAACAACACAGAGGCCTACAGACTTCCTACCCAATGGATGTCCTTCAGACTTCACTATAACATACTTGCTCCCCCACGAGACGGACTGTGACAAGTTCTACAGTTGCAGCAATGGACAGAAAATTTTGATGCCGTGCTCCGCTGGAACGTGGTTCGATTACGATTTGCAGGTAAAGAAAGAAAGAAATTTTCACTAAGCTATTTAAAAAAAAAATACAATTTGATCGGCAGTAAGGTGCCTAGTTAGTACCAAGCATTTAAATTTACAACCAAAAATATATAATTATGATCGGAAATATTACTAAGAAAACATTATTTTTAGCGTTGCAACTACCCGCACTTGGTGAACTGTACGCCGGGGTCTACAACAACGACATCAACTTTGGCACCAACAACACCAGTAGATGACCCCACAGCAACACCAGAAGAGCCAGTTACTGGTACCACAACAACTACAGAAGCACCTGGTTTCCTTCCCAATGGCTGTCCAGCAGATTTTACAGTCGATCTCTTATTGCCACATGAGTCGGATTGTGGCAAGTTCTACAGTTGTGTCCACGGAAACAAAGTTGAAATGAATTGCCCGGCCGGCTTGTGGTTCGACTTCTCCTTACAGGTGAGCGAATTTTGTTTTTGTTAACAAAATAATGTGGCAATTTCATCGAATACACAAGGATCAAATTGTCAAATCAAAATAATTAGCAAACATTTTTCAGTATGTTTCATAGTATAGATGTATGAATATAAATGTTATTATGCCACAATGAGATGAATAAATAATATATTTAAAATTAGTACATCAGAGTTCAGTTTGATCTAAATCTTTATTTAAAGATCTGTTAAAAATATTTTCAAGTTAGATTTTTCTCCAGTGCATACAAAAGGTCACAAAAATAAAAACATTAATCTTTCATTTCCAGTACTGCAGTTGGCCGTTCATGGTGACCTGTAATGCAACCACCACAACAACATCAACAACAACAACAACGACAACTCCAGCACCAATTACGGTTACCGACGGGCCAACAACCACTGAGGGACCCACTACAACCACTGAGGAGCCCACAACAACATCAACAACAACAACGACAACTCCAGAACCAATAACGGTTACCGACGGGCCAACAACCACTGAGGGACCCACTACAACCACTGAGGAGCCCACAACAACATCAACAACAACAACGACAACTCCAGAACCAATAACGGTTACCGACGGCCCCACAACCACTGAGGTACCCACAACAACAACTCAAGAGCCCACAGAATCGCCATCAACACCAGAAGAGCCAATAACTGTGTCCACAACAACTACAGAAGCACCTGGCTTCCTTCCCAATGGCTGTCCAGCAGACTTTACAGTCAATCTCTTATTGCCACATGAGTCGGATTGTGGCAAGTTCTACAGTTGTGTCCATGGAAAAAAAGTGGAAATGAATTGTGCTCCCGGCACTTGGTTTGATTTCGAGTTGCAGGTAAGCACACCTTCTTTTACTAATCAAGTATCGAACTAATTCATCAAACTTTTATGCTAAATTAAATTAGATTAAACGACTTAGCACCTGATACAATACCTCCATTTAAATAAGTAAGTACCCATACTCGTTACAGTGTTTGAACAAACTCACGTCTAGCTTGGTCAGCTTCATGGTGAGGTTGATGAAAACGGGAATAAGTCTCCGATGCAAAATTTTATAGTTAATATTGATTTTATAATGTTTGGAATTGTGGAATAAATGTTAACTATTGTCATAATAGAGATAGCTAGAACTTTGTACGAAGGTTGACCCAGATTTTAGAATCCGAAAAACATAAATACGAAAAATTGCCCAGCTTAAAACTAAAAGATTTAAATTGTATAAAAGTGTCTTTATATTTGATGGGCCGACGTTTGACCACTATCTCGCCTGGTGGTAAGCGATGATGCGGTCTACGATGGCGCACGTCGACTCATAAGCAATCTATTCACTCGTGCCTTGAAGACACCCAGGTTGTACCCTTCAGGAGATACATACTCTGGTAAAGAATTCCACTCTTTAGCAGTACGCACAAGGAAGCTCGATGCGAAGCGCTTCGTGCGTGTGAGTGGGACATTCATGGAATGACTCACTCAAGACGACATTCCATGAATCGGTGACGCTTCGCCGATTGTCTTGTAATATCGATAATTAAATCACCCACACAGAAATACTGAAAGGCTACTCAATTTTAAGTTCTACTTTAATATTGTGCCATCTCTATCATTTTAAAAAGAACTTGTAGTGACAGAACTATAGGTACTTAAGCACGCCTTAAAAATTAATGGCGTCTCACAATTCAAACCTTAAATGTAATAAGTTAAAAACATCTTCCATTATATATAAAAAAAAACTAAATAAAATGTAAATATTTCCAGTACTGCAGTTGGCCGTTCATGGTGGATTGCAACGTGTCGACAACTACAACAACTTCTACAACTACAACTCAGGTACCAATCACGACTACTGAAGACCCAAATACACCAACATACTCTCCTACTACAACTGAAGTAATTACAACCACCACTGAGCAACCCTCTACACCTACTGACGGACCCACTACACCAACTGACGGACCTACTACAACCACCACTGAGGAAGTGTCTACAACCACCACTGAGGGAACCACTACAACTGAGGAGCCCATTACAACCACTCAGGCACCAATAACCACCACTGAGGTACCCACTCCAACTACAACTGAGGCAACCACTACAACTGAGGAGCCCACTACAACCACCACTGAGGGAACCACTACAACTGAGGAGCCCACTACAACCACTCAAGCACCAACAACCACCACTGAGGAACCCACTACAAC